AAAAAAAGAAAAAAAGCGAAAGGGAAAGCAAAGTGAACAAAAAAACGAACAAAGGTGAGACGGAAAAAATAGAAAGAAAAAAAAGTAAGGAAAAGAGAAAGAAAAAAGTGAGAAAACAAAGAAAAAGAAAGAAAGTAAGGAAAAGAAAAATCGAAAAAAAACGAAAGAAAAAAAAGAAAAGAAGAAAAGGAAAAAGTAGAAAAAAGAAAAAAGAAAAAAAGTTAGAGGAAAAGAAAAAGAAAGAAAGTAAGGAAAAGAAAAAGAAAAAAAATGGGAAAAAAAAGAAAAAGAAAGAAAAGGAAAAAAGTGAGAAAAAAAGAAAAAGAAAAAAAAGTAAGGAAAAGAAAAAAAGTGAGAAATAAAGAAAAAGAAAAAAGTGAGAAAACAAAGAAAAAGAAACAAGTAAGGAAAAGAAAAAGAGAAAAGTGAGAAAAAAAGAAAAAGAAAAAAAGTAAGGAAAGAAAAAGGAAAAAGTGAGAAAAAAAGAAAAAGGAAAAAGTGAGAAGAGAAAAGAAAAAAGTGAGAAAAATAAGAAAAGAAAAAAAGTAAAAAGAAAAAGAAAAAAGTGAGAAAAAAAGAAAAAGAAAAAAGTAAGGAAAAGGAAAAGAAAAAAAATGAGAAAAAAAAGAAACAGAAAGAAAAAGAAAAAAGTGAGAAAAAAGAAAAAGGAAACAGGACAGGAAGGAAGCAGGGAAGTTGAAATGGTCCCAGATTGTTGCGAAATGTCCCGTAGGATTTGGAGTAGAAAAAGAAAATAACATGAAATGAATAAAACAAAGAAAATTGTTTCAAAAAAAAAAGTGAGAAAAAAAAAGAAAAAGAAAAAAGTGAGAAAAAGAAAAAGAAAAAAAGTCAGGAAAAGAAAAAGAAAAAAGTGAGAAAACAACGAAAAAAAAAGTAAGGAAAAGAAAAAAGTGAGAAAAGAAAGAAAAAGAAAAAAGTGAGGAAAAAAAGAAAAAGAAAAAAGTGAGAAAAAAAGAAAAAGAAAAAAAAATTAAGGAGAAGAAAAAGGAAACAGGACAGGAAGGAAGCAGGGAAGTTGAAATGGTCCCGGATTGTTGCAAAATGACCCGCAGGACTTGAAGTAGAAAAGAAAAATAACATAAAATGAATAAAACAAACAAAGAAAGTTATTGCAAAA